TGTTTTACAATTTACCTTCTCTTCTTTCAGTGGCCTGGGAGGAGTAGTTTGCAAGGCACTCTAAGAAACCTAAGCATGCCCTTCTTCAGATTTGTGACAGATAACAACATCTAACTGTGGAAGCTAAAGTCTCTTATTTGGAAATAGTGAGCTGCCATGTTGTAAATGACTTCTAAACCTGTTGTTGGTCCACAGGTCCGGGATTGGCATTCATTGCTTACCCCCGTGCTGTCTCCATGATGCCATTCTCTCCACTGTGGGCCTGTTTTTTCTTCATCATGGTCATTCTTCTGGGACTGGACAGCCAGGTATGCAATCATCCACCATTGTCACATTGCCGGGGGTGTGCCCTACCTGAAATGACAGATGGCAGCAGGAATTGGCCATAATTCAAGCCCTAGGTGGCCCTGCAAACACCAACCCGGTCTGAGAAAAGTCATTGAAAAAATAGGAAAATTATCAGCCGAACAGTGACCGGGCCAGTTAGGGGTCCCAGCACTCACCCACCCACATCTAATAAAAATGGGCCCCTAAATCCCAGAGGGACTTTGCACAGCGGCATAGTCTGCACAAATGGTATGTCTGCTCCTCGTTACTACTCACAGTCTTTGTTTAATGGAACTGAGTCTGCTTTCGGTTTTCTCTCCCCGCTCAGTTTGTATGTGTAGAGAGCCTGGTGACCTCTCTGGTGGACATGTATCCTAGAACATTCCGTAAGAAGCATAGACGGGAGCTACTGATACTGGTGGTCTGCATTTTTTCCTTCCTCATTGGACTAGTCATGCTAACTGAGGTATGAGACGGGGTATGTGTAATTGGGGTTGTTGTGGTGAGTTGAGGATTGGGCTGTGGGGTAGAAAGCTGAGTTAATTAATTAATGAATTATTATTATTATATTAACAAAATTGTGAATTGTATTTATCATTTTGTTTTGGAAATTTCAAGTTACAAAAAACATGTACCTTTATGAAAAACTGTTGCCTAGCCTCAAAACCTTTCATCAGATCTGGGTATTTTGGGTGAACCTTAAACCGAACCATGTACAACTTAATATGCACAGCGGCTCCTTATGTCATAATTGCCTACACTGTCTTTTGTCAAAAATACTGTAATTAGACTCTTTTGCATCCCCCTGTATAAGAGCGTTCAAATTAATACCCAAGCACATCAACATCATTTTATTTTCACCTTTGCTTTTGTAGGGTGGCATGTATGTCTTCCAGCTCTTTGACTATTATGCGGCCAGTGGGATATGTCTGCTGTTTGTAGCTATCTTTGAGACTCTGTGCATTGCCTGGGTGTACGGTGCGTATCTATCTATCTATCTATCTATCTATCTATCTATCTATCTATCTATCTATCTATCTATCTCTCTATCCAGTTTGTAATATTTGAAAAAATGATTGGGCAATAATTTCCTTTGCTTCCTGCCTGACCAGTGCTCAGACATAGAATGCTCCTTTTATTTCCTCTTGACACTTTCTGAACTGGATGTGAAAATGGTGTTCGGTGTCTTAACCCAGTTGCATATCCCTATGTCTCTCTGCCTTTATGATAACAACATATGAGATATGATATGAAAGAGTATATGATAAAAAGATAGATGTACATTTCGAAAAAATATCTATGTTTCTATCTATCCCTCTACAGTATCTGTTCCTCTTTGATCTTTCTATCCATCAAGTCAAAGCATCAGCATTTTTTTTGTCAATGTTTCAACTTCGAAATGCTAATGCTTTAACTTATCTTCCCTGCAAAGCAATGCCTGTATACCTACTTTTGGGGCATTTATCTTACGAACCCTGGGACTATCTACCTACCTATCTTGGATCTATTCTGTGTATGTGTGTATGTATGTACAGTATCTATCTATCTATCTATCTATCTATCTATCTATCTATCTATCTATCTATCTATCCCATGTCTGCCTGTCAGTCCATGTGTCAGTCCAGCCTCTTAATAACATATCTATGTCTATACAGGTGCGGATAACTTTTATGATAATGTGGAACACATGATTGGATACCGGCCTCTGCCCCTCATTAAGTACTGCTGGCTGTTTGTCACCCCTGCTGTTTGCCTGGTAAGAGGGAGGTAGTTATGGGGGTGGGTGCCATGGTTAGGTGTGGTAGTAGCAGTGAACAAGGTTTGGGAAATGGCCGGCTCACATGTTCTCTGTTCCTTACCTTATCCCAGGCCACGTTTATCTTCTCCCTGGTGAAGTACACTCCGCTACAGTATAACAAGCGCTACACATACCCATGGTGGGGGGACGCTGTCGGCTGGTGTCTGGCAGTTGCCTCCATGATTTGCACCCCACTGTGGGTTTGCTATAAAGTCTCGACCATCAAAGGGCCATTGGCACAGGTAAGAGGGCTACATTGTCTACTATTTATATACATCACAGTATCTAAATTTCGCTGATGTAGGGGCTTACATACATACAGAGTTATGGTGCATTCAAACAGATGAGATTTCCCTTCACAATAGGATTTAATGATCATTTTTGCATGACTTCATAAAGTATAAAACAACAGGCCCGCTGAATACAAAGAAGAATAAATGGGAGCTGAAATGTTAATAAGCAGAAAATAATTTATTTCACTCTGAGGTCTCTCCAGACTCTATAGTCAAGGTCGATCTTAGACAAGATGGGGCCCTGTGCAAATATAAAGTGGGGCTCCCGTATAATGTACAGAAGATGAGGGCCTCGGATAATAGCCCAGTTTGCACCCCCGCTTCCCCAAGCACTACAATGCATGCACTACAATGCTGTCTCCTCATTTTATATATAAGTTCAAGGATATCTGGCTGGAGTCTTTCATATCGCATAACACATCACTATCTGCCATGATAGAGCAAGTGAAAAGTGACAGGCAGTAATAATTCTTCATAGTAAGAAATTACATAAGTATATACATTTTGTGGCAAACCTGCAAAAAATCTGGGTATAGCACACACTTACACACTCTGTCCACCACCCACAATGCAATGCTTTAATAGGCAGGCTTGCCTAGGACAGACCTGAATTCTGCCACATGCAATCACAGTACCCTTAAAGTGTAACTCCACTTTTGTTGAGAAAAGTGATCTATGTACATTGCCATGATTTTAACAAACTTTGTTGCAGATTTGTACCTTTTCTATGCTGAATAAAAATCTGTCTGTTCCAGCATGTCCTTTTCAGACTGATTCCTGAATGGTATGGTCTAGTTTACTAATCATCTGTGCACATCTCAGTGTTCTAATGAGGAAAGATGGAGTGTGTCTGCATCTCTTAGCAGCAGAAAATTCACTTAACCAATCACAAGAGCAGAAAATTTCAATTTAGGGGGCATTTTGTACACCGACAGTGTACAGCAGGCCTCAAAATTGGTGAGTGAAAATTGCGTGGGGGCGAGTGGAATGTAATCGAGGGGGTGCGCCGCCGACAGGACCAGGGATGGGACACTTGCTCACTTCCGTTCTCTCTTATCCTCCTCGGCCGCTGCAGCTACAGAGCGGCCTGAGGAGGAGAAGTAAATACTCCGCTAAATGTTTCTGTAATGCAGAAAATTAGGGTCTTCCATTGTGCTCTTTGGTTCCTTCTTCCAACTATGTCACTACTGGGCACAAGCTGGGGTCATGCCCAAATTGGGTGAAACATTAGAGAGGGGCGGTCCTAGGTGGAGTTGCAATGTGTGATGTCAGGGTTCAATAAAGTTTAATGTTATCTGATGTCATCAGTGTGTGACTGCCTACTCAGTTCAAGGAGCAAGGTTGACATCTGGAGTTCCACAGAAGGGGAATTTTCACACAGGCTTGGAGTGGTGACATCTTGTGTCACAGTAGAGAGATATGTATTATTATTATTACTACAATGGCATTCGGTGAATTGGGCAGTGAAAGAGGTGAGTATTTTCTATCTTCTTTGCTTCTTTAGTTTAATCCCCCCTATTTACTTCAGTACATTTTCCTGAAATAATAAATGTTTCCCAAATGTCATGATTTTTCTCCATTATTTCAGCAATGTGAAAACTCTTAATTTGGCCTGTCTGCATTTTGTTCTTCATGGCCATTGAGAAGCAGTTAATGGGTATACACAACAGGTAAATACACTGCCTGGCCCAAAAAAATGTGCACACATATTTTGTTTGACCACTTTTAGCTTTGATTACGGCACGCATTTGCTGTCGCATCGTATCCATAAGCTTACGCAATGTCACAACATTTATTTTCATCCAGAGTTCATTAATTTTTTACCAAGATCTTGTAGTGATGATGAGAGAGTCTGCCCTCTGCGTAAAGTCTTCTCCAGCACATCCCAAAGATTCTCAATGGGGTTAAGGTACGGACTCTCTGGTGGGCAATCCGTGTGACAATGATGTCTCATGTTCCCTGAACCACTCTTTCACAATGTGAGCCCGATGGATCCTACATTGGCATCTTGGAATATGCCCAATGTGCCATCAGGGAAGAAAAATTCTATTGATGGAAAAACCTAGTCAGTATATTTAGATAGGCAGCTGACCTCATTTTATGGGAACATAACATTTCTGAACCTAGACCTGACCAACTGAAGGCTCTTGCTAAGCTAAATCAACTTTGTTTTGGCCAGGCAGTGTATTGCGTTGAGCAGTTGTGTCCTACCAACGACAAAATCAAAAGCAAGCTGGTTGAGTCGCCAATGGGCAACCTTTTGCTTTTATACATTTTATCTAAACGTGACCGGTGTATCAACTTTTCTTCCTTCAGAGATTCCGTCAGCTCACGTGCCCAGACCCCGACCTGCCCCAGAAGCAACTGAGGGACCAGCAGACGCAAGCAACAGCCATATCTCCACTAGAAGAGTCCCTGTGCTAGGACAAGGCTGCATGTGTGTGTGTGATCTGCACATGCCGTGTGTGGGCCAGATGTGTTTTTTTTCCGGGCACGGTGACAATGATATACATGCTCACGGTGAGGGTCACGTCTACATGCATACACGGATGATGTCAACGGTCGTGCAAACACACACACCTGCACAAATGCTGGGACGGACTGCCTACACAGCTGTGCTTTGTCCTGCATACCCTTCACAACCTGAGGACATTTGCGCAGTAGGAAACGGACTTGTGAAACGCACAGTTTTTTTTTAGAACTTTATGCATTCCATTAATTAAAGCAACGATTTGTAGTTTGTGACATGACAAAACATTCCCTTCCCCATCGTGTGGAGATGTCTTTGTTTAAGTCACACGACCTATGGCTGCTTTCTGTAGTATTGTATTAAAAGGTGCCATGGATTTTAATTCACAGTGGGGACTAAACATATGTGTTTTTTTTGTCCTGGGATATTTCAACCAAAACAATGGTTTTATATATATATGGGCGGAGCACAAGGGACCCCATAATCTCATATTGCCCCGAAAAAGAAACAAAAAGTTCTGGCTGAAGCTGGGCCCCTAAGTACCATGAGGTTGTCTGCTTTCCTCAACAGTGTCTTTTTTAGGTTGATTTTAATGTTTTGGGATGCTGGGGCGCTGTCAGGCAATGAACCATGGAAATAATACAACCTCATAGTCAAGGTGGACACCATTCACTCCAAGATGAAGCCCAAGCAGCAGGTACACTGCACATGAGGCATAGCCACAATCAGAAGAAGCATCTCTGCAAATATAGATGAATTTCTTTTCCACTGGCCTGTTGTAAATGTAAAATAAGTATCCTCACCTCTCTTGTATCACAATCTCCTATTGGAATCCCTACCCTCTGCTGGGCGATATTCAGCACTGTGGTGTGGTTCACACTGTATCTGCACACCTGGCCTCATTCAGCTAAGATATATAGTAAAGAGAGGACTAAGGGGGAGGTTTAGTCCCCATTCACACTGGATAATTTTGCTCAACAAGAAGAATGTTTTCAATGGTGCCTGTTCACATTTGAGCATTGTGTTGCTTGTAGCCTGTCACTGGAAAAAGTGCATGAGCTTCTTATCAAGACAGAATTACACAGTTTTGGCTTCATAGACCTGTATGGGAACGCCTAAAAGATGCCTGAAAAACATGCATAACAAGTTAACAACCATCTGCTTGCTCCTCATAGCAGCATGTCTTTCTGTGGCTAAAACAAAAACGCTCAAGCCTAATAAAATTATTGACAAAAAAAAACCCCACAAGCTGAAATGTGAAAAAATAATGTTCCTAAATGCGCTTACGGTCAGGTGTGAATGGGCCTTAAATGCATGCATAGTCATTAAGTAAACATTAAAAACCACATGCTGTCTGGCTGGTGTAAGCTGTCTACATTAACCCTTAAAGAACAACTTCAGGAATTTATAAAAGTTACACTTACAGTGGGGCAATACCCACACTACAAGGATTAAGTGGTCGCTATGTCTAGGGGGCTCAAATAAAGCAGATATACTCACCTAATCCTTGGTCTCTTTAGCTGCTAGACTGCTCCCTGGGTTCCAGAGGTCCATGGACCACTGACATCTTCACGTTTAATGCAGGTTCATTGACGTGCATTAGATGTGAGGACGCCGAGGAACATTTCACAGCTGTAGCGGAGGGAGAGAGCGGAGAGCGCTGACCAACAAAGGACCGAGGATCAAGTGGGTATACCTGCCTTATTTGACCCCTCTAGACAAAACAAGCACTTGACCCTTACAATACAGAGGTACCCAAAACAGCAACGGTAAGTCTTTTGAATTCACGGAGTTCTTCTTTGACCATCTCAATCAGACTCAATCAATGCGCAGTAAACTAGGTTCAGAGTAGTAAGCAGGGGGGTCTCATTAAAGGAATAGACATTGTTTGCTTCCCAAAGTGAAGGATCACTTAGCTTAGAAAATAAAGTGCCTTCATGGCAGCCCTGAGGATCAACTTTCATGTCAGCATGGACTTCCAGCAACCGAGGGCCAACCAGCTGATCATGAGAAATAATACTTGGGGCAGTCCAGAATAAGTCCCATAATCCAGCACTGTTACAGCGCAGTCACTTTCATTGGCTCATTGCAGACGACTTGTGGAAGGCTGGGCGATGGAATTCTAAAACGGCAGCAGGACTGACAGGATGTCGATTTGTGTGCCTGCACTTTTGGCTGTGGAAGGTCATTTGCTGGGGAAACAGCTTTAACCAGCCTCTGAAATTGAAGAGTATGTTAGTCACATTAAAAAGGTAATTGTAATGTCTTGGGTCATTTTTATTTTCATTTTATTAAGTGTACACATTTTGTATATCTTTTTTCCCCACTATGTACAGTATGCAATTTTTGTTCTACACCAAAACATTTAATACATTATGAAGGATTCTCAGGATCTAAAGAGGCAGCTCAGCAGGAAAGGTCTACTTTCAGGTAGGCTTTCTTTTATTGAAATCTTGGTCAGAGATGTTTGGGGAGGGAGAGTGAAGGGAAAGTATAGAATGCAGCTTGAGCTACTGAGTTCTATGAATGGCAAACTTTGTACTAAAAAGCATTGGAGGTCTTCTATCACCAGTGTAATGATGTTCATTAGAAGCTGACAGAGGAGGACGGTGGTGTCATAGTCGTACAAAGAATGAAGGATTGCAGGCTATGAATTGTGTTGTTACCCTCTGTGTACAATACAGATTTGTAGTAACACATCCCGGTTGATTTGTTACTTTTTAGATATTTTGTCAGATAAAACAGTTACTGTTTATGTTTTCTGCTGTGCCGGGATCTATTATTCCAGGGTTGCCGATTTTGTGTTCCGTAATCAGAAGCTATTATAGGAAGTAAGTATGCTCCTGTCAATACACTGGATGGTCACACTCTACTCATAAGTCATGTGATGGTGTAGAGTCAGTCAAATGAAAATTAGTGTTATGTTTCTGAAAAGAACCAAGAAAACTCACATTTTAGGAATAGTTCAATCACTTACCTCTCTAAAGGATCCATCTGTCCGGAGTACAGTATAAATCGCCCACACAGGGATGCAGATCATGGAGAAAATAGCCATGAGCCAGCCAATGGCATAGCCCCACGGTGGGTACACATATATGTTATTGTATTTCAAGGGCATGTATTTGATCACAGAGAAGAGAAATGACCCCTAAAGAGTGAGAGAGAACCAATCAGAAAAGGGCAATGCATACCTCAGGGGTGGGATTAAATCTCATTTCTGTCTGAACTGTTTACTTTCTCGAGGGTTGGCAGTTAGTACTTTTAATGACCTTGTGGGCATATTTACCAATCATTCGTGCAGCCTCAATTCAAACAAAGATATAATAAAAGCAAAATTAGAGATGTTTTACACATATTATAGTCAGTTTATTAGGGACACCCATCTAGTGTCTCATAGGACCCCTTTTTGCCTTCATTAAAAATCTGATTTGTTTGCAACATGGATACAAGACGCTGACTCTGATTCCATAACATCATAACTTTATGGAGATCTGCTGACAATACATGCATACTGCTACCCTCCCCTTCCACCCAAAAAATCAAAGGATTCAATGTGAACCTTGGCTTTGCCCTTGAAGGTGTAAGGGTCCCACAGTCAGCTTATACTTCCCTTCCTCTTGCTCCCCGGCAGGAAACACTGTACAGGTGAAACTCGAATAATTAGAATATCGTGCAAAAGTAATTGCAGTAATTGCTGCAAAAGGGGCCCAAACCAAGTACTGAGTACATATGCATGCTTGTACTTTTCAGAGGTCCGATATTGATGTACAATCCTTGTTTTATTGATTGCATGTAATAATCTACTTTTTTGAGGTTGTGGATTTGGGGTTCTTGGGGTTTTCATGAGCTGTAAGCCATAATCATCACAATTATGACAAATCACGGCTTGAACTATCTTGCTTTGCATGTAATGAGTCTCTCTCATATATTAGTTTCACCTTTTAAGTTGCATTAGTGAAATAAATGAACTTTGCACAATATTCTAATTATTCGAGTTTCACCTGTATAAGCTCCAAGTACTTGCCCAGCATGGACATGCAGCAGACCAGAATCCGGTAAGAGTTCTCCCCTGCACTGCTAACCTTGGTGAGATGTTAAAACATGAAGTAGAACTAAGACTTGGACATAAATATAAACTATTTATACATTTTCATATAAAAATCTAAGGTACATTTTTACTAAGAAGTATTTTTGGGGGACAAAAGGCCATGTTGTGTATTTTCTTGACTTTCCTTTCCTAAGTAAGGTCCATTTTAAAGGAAATCACATACCAGGCACATGGCCGGGGTCACTGCTACCCAGAAGATCTTCATCAGGGGCCAGGGGCGATAGCCAATCATGTCCTGGATATTATCAAAGAAGCGGTCTGCTCCTACTCCATCACATCAGGGTTAATGAGAGAAAGATAAAAAGGGGGAAGTGATATTGATTCTGTTGTAACAACATGACATTAGGCTCAATTCACATATGTGTTATTTGTAACTTCTTTCAGTATTTTCTAGGGATGCACCCGCGAAATCGCAAAAAACTACCACACCCAGAATTGAACGTAGGCGACGCTTTAAAAGCTTTTACCGTTCATCAGTTTAGTGTGATCAGTGATTGAAGGCCCTAGAATTATTGCTCTCACTGCGACGTTCGTGGCAATATGTAACGTGTTCGGCGTAATGGGCGCAATCGTCGTTTTCGCACGTATGCGCACCTGGCGCATGTTTGCACGCATGTATGGGTGGGGACTTTTTTTGTTGTTGCAACTTTTATTTTTTTTCCTATTTTTTTCCACTTAACTTTATTGTTATCACATAGGAGGATAAGAAACCCCCCTATGTGATAGCAAAGAGATGTGACAGGTCCTCTTTATGGAGACATCAGGGGTCTCCAAGATCCCTAATGTCACCTCACCCCCAAAGAAGCTGATGAAGCGTCTGAAGCTGGAGACTGACACAAGAATGCGGAAGTGAGTGGGCGGGGCTAACATGCCATCTTTTGACGGCCTGTTACATCAATGGGAGCTGCCGGCTGGCGGTTTTTATACAACGCCCGCCAGGAGGCGGGTAAATGGACATGTGACATTTTTTCAAAAACAATACAGACTAATAATTTTAGGGCAGTTTCTTTATTATTATGAAGAACTGTAACATTTTTTTGGGAAAAAAATAAATATATATATTTACCCTTCTTACCCTTTCTTATTATATAAGAAAGTAAAGTAAATGAAATACGTTTTCTAAAAATATAGTGAATCTCTCCAGCGTTCTGTCAAGCTCAACAACATCACTGTGTTCCGCTCAGCTCCTGGCAACCAGTGACATAAGTGAGCTGGGCGAGATCCTGGCCAGATTGTCCCAGGTTACTAAGAGCTAAGGCGGTCATGTGCCCCCCACGTGACCGCCTCAGGCTGCCTCATTATAGGGACGACTCTGGATAAACAGACACTATGTACAGTACCCCACTGCAGCTTTTGTTTCCAGTTATGCAATTAGAACAATGACAGATAATTGCTGATTGGCTGCTGTGGGTTATGCCTGTTGGTCTAATATCAACCCAAAGACCGTAATGATACTCACCATATATCCAACCAATGCAGATACACTCAAATGTCCCCACAAAGAGGAGGCAGATTCCACTGGTTGAGTAATAATCAAATAATTGGAAAATATACATTCCTCCCTGTGGATCATACAAGAGCAGATTAACGCAAACCATACATTAATAAATAACACTCTAACCACCTGAACTGAACATTTTCCTTTGTAAAGTAATTGAAATGTATATCAATAAAAAGAGCTTGGCGCCAACCACTTTATGCTGGTTATTGCAGATAGCAAAGAAGCTAATGCTTTCTTCACATGCACATCAACAACAACAAAACGGCATAGGAACTAATAGTTAGCTTGATATTGGCTATTTCAATTTGCAATTGCCAATAGGAAGCTGGCTATTGCACCTGCCCTCTGCTGCTGCCAGTCAGCAGAGGTGGACCGGATGGAGAACTTCAGGTCCACCTCTGCTGATTGACAGCAGCAGTGGGCGGGTGCAATAGCTAGTCTGCTATTGGCTATTGCACATTGAAATAGCCAATAGCAAGCTAGCTATTAGTTCCTATGCCTTTTTTTTTTCTTTGGCGGACGGCGGCCCCGATGTTAGAAAAGAAAAAAAACAGACAGCACAGAAAGGTTTACTCTGCTAGATCGAGCAGAGTAAACCTTTCTGGGAGAAAATATTTCTTTCCCGGGGTGTCCGGGAGCCGTTATCTAATAGCGGGAGACTCCCGGAACATCTGGGAGAGTTGAGATGTCTGATTCATGTTTATGTAAAAGACAGCAGACAGTGATACCACTGGGCCAACCAGCCTCCTCTGGTTATATAGGCTTTTTTTAAATCTGCACTTTTTGAGGTCCAAAGGGAGGGCCTGGGGAAACAGTTGTTTTGCATTTGGTTATCCCTCATAGCTTCTGTCCTTTTTAAAACAACTGCTGAATGTTGAATGCTACCGCAAACTGTGCTTTCAGTTTTGCAAAAATAGTATTTGATTTGTGCACTCTGAAAGACATACTGTATTCCCTTTCCTTACAGAATAGTGACAGCAGAGGTCTTCCATTGGGCTGGGAAATTTCTGCACCTGCAATCCCAAGTGTGCTAACCCTCCTGGATTTTTGCTGGTTATACCAGAATGAGCTGCATGCTTTGCAAAGGTTCCTATCACAGAGTTTGGCGGAATCATTGGCCCACCAGGGATGACAGCCAACTAACAGGCAGCACACATGCTAAACCAGTGTAAATTTTCAGATAGATTGTGAGAGCAATCACACAAAGGTAAGACACACAGACACACAGACAGACAAGGCATGAACAGTCAGACATACCAACATGTTTATCAATCAAAAGCTGAATGTCCAGCAGTCTTCTTAAGCACTTCCCGGACTAGGACAGGTGTGTGCTGCAGCGACCTGAATTGCAGTGCTGAGCAACAACTAGCAGATGGTGAAGGTTTAAGACTAATCACTACAGTTGGGCAGTCTATGCCTACACTTTGTGAAGTCTCAGTTACCATTATTAACCCCCCGTTACCCTACATCTTTAATAACTTACCTGAGTCACAATAAACAGACCAAACAAGAAGCAGATGATGGACACCGCCAGAACCAGCAACTCTCTCCGGTAGCCCTTGCGCAGAACAGTCGGGTACATATCGCTAATCGTCAAGCACAGCGCCTCAACATAAATGAACTGCAAAAAACAAGGAAAACTACCTCTTAACTTCAAATAAAGCAAATTTAATTAAAAAAACTTCTATCCTGCTCTAGAAAAATAATGTACATTTTATTGGTTGCCATTGGCAAAACACATACTCTACTTTCGTCCATTTTTAATAGCCGTGGTCAGATTTGGAAACAACAGTCTTGTGATCATAGAAGCTCTAGAGAGTTTATACTGATGATAGAGGTTTTCATACCTGGCTGTCCAGACCAAGCAGGATGATCATGATGAAGAAGAGGCAGGCCCAGAGCTGTGAGACGGGCATCATAGTCACTGCCTTGGGGTACGCGATAAAAGCCAATCCCGGTCCTGAAGGCAGGAACACAAAATAGGGTATTTATTTATTAAGTTCAACAATATAATACATTTTAGTCCAATGGCATGATTCCTTATTTCACCACTAAAACCAGTCTGCTTTACTCCAGTTTATCCAAAACTGTCTTTGCAATATGCGAAAGTGAAAAAATATAAATTGGTGAAGCAAAAAAAAGTTATTTCACCTCCAAGTGGGCCTGTCATCAGACATATGTTTTCACTTTAGGTGCACCATGCTAAGAAATGTGTAAGTGTAACGCACCTAGGTATTTATTACCTCTTGCGAGATCACAATAATCCTCCTGATAATGCCTTCATTTGCTTTTTTCTTCAGAAGGACTGCATCCTCTTTGCTAATGCATCACCCAGAGTCACCACCTGCAATTTGGGCTGTGCTGACACAATCATATAAATCCTGGTGCCTGTGCAGTTCTTTCTGCGTTCACAAATTCTGGCACAGAACAGCTCCTGCTGCAGCCTCTCACCTTGTGAATGGATACAAAGTTACAATGTTTTAGTCTGATCACTGGGGGAGAGGAGACTGAGGAAATGCTTCCTCCTCCAGAGTGATGACATCATCTGAGCCTAGGCAAAGTCACTGATTGGAGATCAAGGACAGTTTTTTTAATGATAAAAGGTGGAGCTTTTGCAAAAAAATGATACTGTTGCTATAAATGTCAGGAATTTAAAAAAAAGTCCATGAACCCATTGCACTCCTGGCCGCTTGGTCCAAAGTCCTCTGGTGGGTGCTGCGGTAGTCGACGGATGGCGCCATCACATTCACTAAGTATAGATAAGACCAGTGGCGGACCTAGGGAACAAAGGGCCCCGGTGCAAGATTATTTTTGACCCCCCCCCCACCCGCAACCCATATCCCCTGTAGCAACCACACAAAAAAAACATTGGAAAAGTGGCATTGCTGTATAAAGTACTGCTGAGATTTGTAGTCCTCTATAGAGGGTGCCATAATGCGGCATTTCACATAAGTGCAACGCTTTGGGGTCATGCATGGTCCCTTCTTCAGGCAAGACATGTATGTATGACATGTCTTGCCTGAAGGAGATGCTGCGTGACCCCGAAATGTTGAACTTGTGATATGCCGCATTCACATGAATAAAAAGACGCTTTATTCATTCACATCTGGAGTCCTGGTGTCTCATCTATACTATGTCAGGAATTCATTCATACAGACTTGTAAATTACTCAAAGGTCCACTTGTAAAGTGTAGTAGAAATGTGTATTACCTAGGTTCCATTTTGTTTTATAACTTCCATTTTGTATCTTATAATGAGTTCATTTTATATTTCATATGAGGAGAGACTCATGCCCCCTCCTCCTTCTCTACCTACATTTTAACTGTCTAAAATAAATTGCTTTTATCAAGGCTGACAGCTTGCATGACTGGAACAAACTGTATGGCCCCCAGGTCCAGTGTATGTTATTCCTGATATAGATCTGGCCACTGGCCTTGAGAATGAGTGTCTGATGATTTCTGAAAGGTCCTGTGTTTTCCTGAAAAGGAGTGTCTGATCCAATGTTTGTGAAGTGAAAGTTAAAGTTGTTATCCTGTGTTGTGTTATCATGTGAACAAACACCACCTAGTGATCACTCCTAGTACTGCAATGTATTGTTCATGGCTTAGAGTACACTATACTGTTATGGTATGGTATATTTATGAGGTATAGCATTAGTTAGACCTATTTTTTAATAGTAATTCTCAAGCAAACAGAAACTACATTTATCCGTAATCTACCAATCCCCGTGGATTCTGGATAACGGGGAGTTTACTGTATAAAGGGAGACTCGTTATTTCTCTATATTCTACTGGTATACTTGTCTAACTGATGAATAACAGGTTCATTTCCAAGACAACGTGGTGAGCCAGGAGTGGATGAGAGAATTTCTCATCAGCTGAACACTAAATGGGCCTTGCCAGAGACACAGGATGAAAACTGCATGCAGGAAAGCAAATCCTTATTTTTGCTTACTATACATCCTGCCTCTCTGCTGGATTGCCTATGGTTTAAACTGAGGGTAATTACAAGCACCACTATCAAACCTCTTATTAGCAGATGTGTTTTTATGTTGCATGCTGCTATGACGTTTCTCTGACACTGATTTCTTTTCTGTGACACTGTGTGCTGAATAAATTGGGGGTTGACGCAGGTGAGGATGAATTAGCAAATACAAATATAGCTGGCCAGTTTATCATAGAGCCTAGGACTCTTATAGAGAGGAAAGAGAGAGTAGGAAAAGTATTGCAATAGGGAATTATGTTACTAATCTCTCCAAAAAGGATCATGGATCCTGTAAAGGTCAGGGAGCTCCTGGCATTGGTGCTCAGACGGCCGTCGAGTATATAGAGAATCGTCATGGCCCCACATACACAGCACCCCTAAAAACTTGGATACAATGGACACATCACTAAAGAGATGGCCTTGGACCCAAAGGAATACTAAATCCTGAATTTTGTGTTACGTTCCTCCGGGACTATGGACCTGCCTTAAACAGTAATGGTATATGGGAACAAGCTAAGACATGGCAGAGAGAAAGTGAGAACCTGAGAAGGCAAGGTATTAAAGAGATCTTTAATGCTAAGAAAGCACGCATATATTATGTTTTTCCCAAAGCAGAAACAGCCCCTCCACCCCATATACTCTCCTGGAGGCTGCTACAGCTCAACTCCTGAGACCAGCACCCGTACTGATAGCCCCTTCTGAAGCTGCTGCAGTCCCTAGGACACAGGAAGATGACAAATAATCTTTTGATGCAGACAGAGAGATTCTGGGAGTTTCAGGTCAGTCAGCATGAAAGGGGAGATGTTGTTAAAGTTTGCTGCAGATCATCAGAAAGACTCAAAGGACAATCTGGAAACAAGGTGTAGGATACGAGGAATTCAGTGCGTTGCTGGAAATGAAACCTGAATTGGTCAGTCAACTAACCAAACAAGGGCCTTATGGTAAGTGTATCCTAGAGCAGTGTTTCTCAACCTGTGTAACCTCAAGACCCACATTTGTCCTTGGTCATTAAGTTGCGACCCAAGTTGCACGGCACTAGGGTACCGCACGTTCTGGTGTGGATGTACGAACTGCGGGTGGGAGGTGCTTTTGGGGTTCCATTAAAATGAATGGCAACAGCCTGGATCCTCACCCTGGGGTCCAGTGTGGGTTGCTGTGCTGTGACGGAGCTCCATCAATATGCATTGCTTGTACAACACCCTTGTGCGCCCTGTAGAGGTGCCGGGAACCAGAATGTGATGTCACTCCATTCCAGGCACCTCTACAGGACATGTGAGGAAGCTATAAGCAACGCATGTATGGATGGAGCTCCCTCGCAGCCATACCCCTAGCCCACCCCAACTCAAGCTGAAACTCAGCCCTGGGCAGCATATTTTAAATGGCTGCTTGTGGCGAGAACTGACAGTGCTGCGCTAGGAGGAGGCTGAGGAACCTCTCGCCTAGAAAAGTGGAAGGCATCTGGGGACCCACTGAACATGGGGTCGCGACCCACTTTTGGGTCACGACCCACCAGTTGAGAACCAAGGTCCTAGAGGAACTACAAGGGATGTGTGAAGTCCATGGGCTGCTGAATTCCCTCAATGCTGAGCGAGCCATGACTTGGCTCTGGCAGGAAGCTGAAGGGAGGATGGAAAGGGTAAAGTGTCAGGTTATGAAAGATAGAGAGAGGGGGAATAAGGAAAGGCAGCAAAAGGAGGAGAAGCGTGCCACGACTATAAGGCAAGAACTGGAGCATTCAGCCTCAGGGGTCTTTCCTGTAAGGACTGTTATCAGCTGGCACCAGCCGTTTAGTCCCTCAGAATTAAGGAACATTCTTGAGGGATTGCCTGACTATAGCAAAGACAGTACTGTTATAAATTAATGTTATACAAGCAAGTTCTGATGCTGGTGCTATTGACATGAATGCCATACTGATGAAAGCAGTAGGGTCGCCAATGGATGACTACATTAAGAAAACGTATAGAGATGACAGGAGACCTAAACTTACAGGGAGGAGAGGAGTTCTGTCGCCACTGTCAGAGAAACTGCCTGGTGTGTATGGTGGAGCAAAGCAGGCAGAGTTTATGACAGCTACTCAGAAGAAAAAGGTAAGGTAGTGTTAGCTGGAAGAGACAGAGGCACTAGTTTGATCAGAGGTAGGGGACGATGTAAGGGTCATGCAAAATGGGCCAGGACCAGAGTTATGTTGTTACAATTGTAACCAGAAAGGCCATTTTGCCCGGGGCTGCCCCCACCTCAAGAGAAAACGCTGGACTGGTAATGAAAATCTGCTGGATGTAGCTTCCCCAGTCCCTGTCAAAGTTGCTTCATCAGCAGGGACTAGCTCCTAGTTAGACAAGGAAATCGGCAAGCCAATGTCAAGGGAAAATGTGTCAGAGGCAGTATTCTCTCTCTTTATAGATGATCTGCCTTTCCCAGGGTGGAAAGAAATACAATTTGAATGTTTGTTACACACTGGTGCAGCCCGTACCATCCTTAAGGTGGCTGACTTTCCCACTTTCTTGCTTTCTGACAAAACAATTCCCACCGTGGGATTAACAGGTGACACAGTGTCTCTCAGAGAGTCAAAACCACTTAAAGTGACATTAAACCCTCCGTTTTTTTAACATAAAACAATACTGTAATGTGCGCCTTACTGTAATCAATGGTTGTTTCCCTTCTCTTTGCTGCTCTTCCTTTTAAATGTGTATCTGTTCTCATGCTGGGCAGAACTTCTGTTTTGCAGCACACTGCCTTGTCTCTGAAATGGATACATGGTGTCTGTGTGTAGGTTTGCAACCTGAGCCAGCACTGCAGGAAGAGGCACTCAGCTGCAAAGGGAAGTTCTCCCCCAGCATGAGAAGACATGATGATTTAAAAAGAAAAGCAGCAAAGAGAAGGGAAACAACCATGGATTACAGTAAGGCACACATTACAGTATTGGTTTATGTTCAAAAATCTGAGGGTTTAATGTCACTATAAGCTAAGACTAGGACAAGACACTGAAATGGTATTAAATGTTCTGGTCTCTCCAAGATGTCCTCAATGAAATTTTGACTTCCACAGACTATACTTCCACCAGCGTAAGATTCTAATCGAAGCTGTCTGAAGAAACTCTGTGTAACACACAAGGAATTTACTTTCTGTCACAAGTGCAAATGGCACAACAATTGAATAATGATTTGGGAACTGTTCCCGACAAGATTTGGGCTTGGTACAGTTTAAAATAAAAGCGAATGCAGTGCTATCACACATCAGACAATACACTTTGAGTATTCCTCAGATGTAGGGCATAGCTGAAAAACTCAATAAGCTGGAAAACCAGTGGCGTGATGAGGAATGTACCTCATCTGTAAATACACCCTTGTTCCCCATTGCAAAGAAGGCAGACAAGGGTCAGATTGTACTGAAAAAGAGAAATTATACCCAGAGACCAAACCCTATTAGTATTAACCCATTTGGTATGAATTAAGGTAAGAACTAATTATGACATTCAACGATCCTTTACTGTATGAATTATACTAGAAAAAAGAAGGTGATACTGATCATAAGGAGACCAGATCAAGTACAGATATAAAGGGTCTGAGTGTCTGTTTAAAGTATAAAAATATTATCTTTATTAACAGTAGTTTTAAACACGTCAGCTTGTAACATACAGAAGGGTACATGACCTCTGGGCAGTCAATAAAATCAACGCTTCAGACACCCCAATTGTCCCAAATCCACACACCTTGCGGTCTACAATTCCACCATCCAGTATGATTTTCTCAGTAATTGACCTCGCCAATGCTTTCTTTGGCATGCCGATTAGTGAAGAAAGCCAAAAATTATTTTCCTACATTTCTGGGCAAAGAATATGCCTGGATAAGGCTCCTTCAGGGTTGTGTGCCAAGCCCCTCTGAATATAGCCAGGCAATGAAAACCATGCTGGATCAGTGGACTCTAGGGTCTGCAAATACTGTTTTACTTCAATAAGGATGATTTGTTGATATGTTCTGATACTTATGACCAGTGTAAAGCAGATACTGTTAGTCTTTTGTGCCATCTAGTGAAACATAACTGTACAGCAAGTAAAGAAAAATTACAGTTTAGCAAAACGAAAGTAACTTTTCTTGGTCACTGCATTTCACATGGCACATGCCATCTAACCTCAGTCAGAGTGCAGACCTTAAAGATTTTGCAGAATCCCAGAAATGTTAAATTGGGAGGATTTAGTGGGATGTTGCAGGGACTAGATTCCTAATGCCTCCATCCTAGGGTTGCCACCTTTTCTTCAAGTGAAACCCGAACACTCTAGCTCCGCGCACGGCAGTTTTTTTTTTAGAATATAGAGGAGAGAGTGAGGAGAGACAACCAGGGGAGGGAGTAAGGAGACCGTCTATAGATGACTACAAATCCACGCATTACATTATACAGCAATATAAAATAATATGAAGCTACATACTCTGTATTGTTCTGGGTTGGCGCCCTGATGTCTCTAGGTGGCTATGCGACTCTCAGGTGGGCTGTGTGACACTCAGGTGGGCTGTGCGACTCTCAGGTGGGCTGTACGACTCTCAGGTGAGCTGTCTGGGCTATGATGTCTCACCAGGGGTCTGCAGGCGAGTAGCACGGTGTCAGAGAGCCGAAGGAGGAGGAGGAGAAGGCAATCACAGATACGGCTGCCGAGGTCCTCGGCAAGCTCGATCTCGGGTAGCTATATCTGCTTTAAACCTGGATCTTCCTCTGAGCTCCGAGCTTGCCGAGGACCTTGGCAGCCGCATCTGTCAGAAATTTTAAAAGACTTAATTAAAGTGCCACAGTTTGACTTAAATAATAGATTAAAAAACATTTCAAACAAAAAAGCTGCAAACAAGCAGCAGTTCCCCCGCAGAGTACACAGCACCCTTTAAACTAGCATGTGCCAAAACACAGACACTATAGTTGATCTGACAGTCAGAAGGGATGAGAGTCCACATCTGATAGGCTATAGTGGCTGCAAATGACTCAGAGGAAAAGATTCCCTCCACAGCAGCAAATGCAACCACACACTCACTATAGGTTGCATTGTTGTCACTAATCTAGCTGAGTGTCCATTCAGCCTTCTTTTTCACACAAGGCAGAGTTTCAATTACATTGAACAAGAACTTCCTCTCCTTGGGATCTTTAAAACCCAGTATGTGTCAATCAGAAGGCTATACATCTCCGGATGAATGTTCTCTATTGCAATTTGAAAGCCATAGAAACAGCACGCTTCTGTGACTTGTACTTCCTGACTGAAACGTTCAACCAAGTTCTTGTTTACATTCTCTACGTCCTGGAAGATCTTGTGGGCCGTCTTGCTGGCCAGGACCTGCGTGTTGCTCAAAGAAGGCGGCATGTTCTCCTTGTTCACCAGGCTCAGGCTCTTCTTCTCATTTACAGCTCCGAGAGGTTTGCGAGAAGCCAGCATAGTGGCAGGAGTAGATGAGAATGGGAATGAGGCGGTGAGTAGATGAGGCGGTGGACAAATGCGGGAGCTGGCGACTGTGTACTGAGCAGGGGGAAGATCATATGTGAGAGTGTCTTGTGTCCGGGTGCCCGCTGGCTGGACACCCAGAGACACAAGACTCCAAAAAAGGACTGTTCAGGTAAAAGCCGGACAGGTGGCAACCTTACTCCATCCTCCTAGTTCCATTATTTCAGGCTGTGTCACGACAAACATTTAGCCTTGCAGAGGCAGAAAAAGAACTTCTGAGGCAACTAATACAATCTCTGCAGGAAGCCCCAGCATTGGGACTACCTAACTATACTGTCCCATTTAATTTGTTTTGTCATGAGGCCGAGGGACATGCAGTAGAGATCCTGACCTAGACACATGAAGGGAAACAGCGGCCAGGCAAATACATATCTGCTGCTCTTGACCCTGTCATCAAGGGATCCCCCTTCTGTGTGCAATGCTACTGGAACAGGTGGCTGACATAGTATTAGATTATCCCCTCACAGTGCAAGGACCTCATGTTGTGAAAGAAATAATGGAACAGGCACAAACTAGGCCTTTGTCATTTTTCAGATTGAACAAATTTGAAGTTGCATTACTATCCCCTCCTAATTTAACAAAAAAAAAAGATGCACAGTTTTAAATCCTGCTACATTGTTACCACAGGAGCAGGAAAAGGGGGAGATACAAGCGACATGAATGAAAGTACAGCACCTTTTTCTCATGGTTGTGCTAAACTTATGAAAGCTGAATCTGCCACAATAACACCTGTAATAGAAAATCTTGATGCATCTGATGTTATCCTCTATTTGTAGATGGGTCAAGGTATTATACCGAGGATGGTAAGCCCCATACGACATTGCTGTCACTACGAGAGACAAAGTGGTTGTACGAAAATCTCTCCCTCCCCATTTATCAGTACAGGAGGCAGAACTGCTTGCTATGATAGCAGCATATGAATATTTGTCAGAAAAAAAGAGTCAAAATCTATGCATTTGGTATAGCTTATTATTTTGGTCCTATCTGGAATGTGAGAAATGTCCTTGCTACTTCAGGGTAACCGGCAAGCCGTGCAAAGCTAATAGATAGAGTTGCCCACTGAGGTAGCCATTTTAAAAGTCAAGGCCCTCATGAGAGAAAAGACATTAGAAGGCCAAGGAAACAATTGTGTTGACCTAGCCGCTAGCCTAGCTTTACTGCCTATTTTGGTAGCGAGCTAGAAGCTCAATCTGCCCAGTGGTATGAGGTCTCCTTAGTCCATTTGCAATCCCAGGCAGCAGAGGAGGAGAAGACGAGTGGCGTAACAAGGTAACAAATGCTACTGCAAATTCTGCTCTAATGTTTGTGTATGCACATAAATATTACCATGGTCCTGATGACCAATCATTTACAGCACTGTTTTATGGCACCAGGACACAGGTGGTTTTCTAGAAACCTTGTTCCTCCAGCCATGCCGGTACTGGGGGATTGCTCCATGTATGACTTACCCGACTCTGCCACCTCCAAGATGGGTACACCTTGCTCCTGTGCCATGAACCCCAAGACAGAGAAGATGGCGAATCCCCCAACGAAGCTGGTCAGAGTGTCCAAGAAACACAAACAGATGCAGTCTCTGCAGAGGGAAGAGTGGGTGGAGAAATCAATAGACAATATTAGTGATGTACGTTTTATATTTGTGTTAGGTACATTCTGTCTCACAGTTCCTATTCTTTCTTGTGGCCTTGCAGAGCTGGTTTCCTTGGTTCAGTTTCCACCCAGACTGTAAAGGAGCAAAGGCAGCAGACCAATAAAGTAATCTCTTTGCTCTCTTCTCTTGTCAGCATGTTACTTGTCAGCACATGTTAGAACAGAACACTTGATACTAAAGTACTGACCCTCCCTCTTCCAAAGTGGTATTGTACAGACGATTGCAGGGGAGATTGAAATCAAGCCAATACTCAGGCATTTATACTAGCTACATTTAAAATATTTTTTATTTTTACATAAGCACATAACTAATTTTTTTTTTTTTTTTATAATATCTACCTGGTGTTCAGGAGCAGTGACAAATTAGGACCTGGCTGCTGCTAATAGCTTCTTACAGAGTGTGATTGCACACATTCTCTTTGTAGGTTTGTACCTGTAACAATTGTAGTAGTAGGGATTGTAACTTCCGATGCTGGTAGTAAAGCCCATTGTGATGGCAAAGGAGTAAAAGACTTGTGTGCCAGCATCCATCCACACCTGGAGACAAACAAAATGTTATCTTCAAAGTAACAGCCACAAGAAATTAACACACTGATTATACACAACTTCAAAAGCTAATGAAAGCTTCAGGAAAAACACAAAATTCAGTACACTTTTTATAATTATTTAAAAAGGAAATTCTACATTTTCTTTAAAAACAAATATTTTAATTGCCCTTTAAAATAAAGACAGCTCTTGCTGCACAATGTACAGCTCTTGCCGCCGACGTCATGTGACCAGAATTAATACT